AGCCGATTGGAACTTGGCCCCCTTTTTAACAGGCATGTTTTTGGTGAGTTTCTTATTATTAGCCTGACTTGACCTTATTTGTATGACAGATTACGATAGCTTAAAGTATTATTGTATAATTATATCCTTATAAATATACTTAATTCGATAAAATATTAAATTAAGATTATTTTCAAATAGGCAATACTTATAAACCACCTTTGATATTGATATAAATATAAAGAAAGTTATGATTTTCTAAAAATATGATTACAAGAACTGTTTCATGTAATATATAAAATATTAAATTTATTACAACTATTTTAATATTTTAAACATTACTCAAAATTGTGAAACTTCTTAATACATTTAGTCATTACATATTACAAGTATTTTCCTGGTAGTTGAATAGTATTCATTGGTAAAAGAAGTAAGATGATTGTTATTGCGTTCCTTATTTACATTTAACAGCCACGTGACCCTTTTCAAACCAGCATCTCGGGTCAACCACTTGTACCAAGTCTTTGAAATCTTCCGGAATTGTAAAACTTATGTTTTAAAAAATCAGTAAATACTTTAAGCTCCTCCTTGAGCCACATATCATTGGACTCACAATCACGGTTCACGCGATGGAATGTAATCCTCTTTAAAATTATATTCCTATAGACGCCTGCTATTTAAATATGTCAGATGTAGTACCAAAATTGTCTCAAAAGACCAAGAAATAACTACCAGTGAGTGGGTGACATTTAAGTTTGTTTAATTAATTTTTTAAGTGTCAGTTGTTGATACATTTTATATTTATTTACTTGTGGTACTCGAGATAACCAACTAAACTTTTTTTTATTGGGTAACAATGTATAGCTTCTGCACATCTATGAATACTATAGCACCGACATATATTATGAAATAATAATAAGAGTAATAAGAAATATATATTCTTTTTATTTTGAAATTGAACAAAATTTGGTATATTACTAAAATGTCTGGAAGGCTACACTGAGTAAACTAAATTTAATTTACTATTTTGTTGGATAGATCTCACAGAGAGTGATAATTAACATAAAACAAAAAACTTTCATACTAATGTTTAAGTGTAATACATGGAAATGTTCTAACATAGTTAAATCGAGTATGTTTGTATCATCTATAATAAATTAAACAAATTGTGGCGAGGTCTAAAATACGCGGTTTGTTGATGAAATACTAACAGAAGACCTTAAGAACTTGTGAAGTTATTAAACCAGTGTTTTAGAAAATTCAAATAAGAAAATTACGTGAACTTATTGTAATGGAATTCGGAAGAAAAGCATTGTAGACAAAAACAAACCATAATTTATTTATGTTACTTTTTTTTATTCATCAAATCTTGTCAAACTTAAAACATCTTAGTATTTATATACGACATTTAACTCTGTCGTAAGTTTGATAAATTTGTTTTAATTAATTACGTATTTATTAACTGAAAAATATATACAATAATTCGAGACATGAAAAATTAGACAATTAATTATCGATTTCATACTACTTTCACTTTTCACCTTTGTAATACAAAGTTCAAGTATTTGAACAAAGAAGGGCAATAAAGTGATCATATTATAAAACTTACGTAAAAAGATCAATACACATGAATATATATCTTGGCAATTAATACTGTAAGCTTGTCTATTAAATGTACCACTAATCAATAATGAATCGTGAGGAAAAAATGTATGTTACAATTTTCATTAATATTTCCTGTAATGTAATTATAACCTCTGTTTCGGTAGCCAAAACATTTTCTTTGTTCTCTTATTTTTCAAATGATCTCTATTATACAAAAGTTATGTATGTATCTCTTACATAAAAGGTATTCGATCATTTCTTTCTTTGTTGTTTAATTGGTTGAGGATAGATAAGGAAGAAACTCTTACTTAGATAGTACATAGAACCTCGTTAACGACAAATATATTTATGGCATTCTAATGAATTTCTTTTATTGATAGTAATCTTGTAATAATACTAATAACAGTTTTTCCAAACTAAAGAATTCAAGCAACATATTACGATGAATAATACAATGTTAAACTAATAGATATACATTTATTTCTTCAATCGCGATTTGTTTTTCGCTTCCTATGTATATATTCATATTTGAGTCTAATTAATTCCTTTATAATGCATTGCTATTAAGCTCATGTTTTATGTAGGTAAGGTAGGTAAGTGTAACCTCAACTCAAAACTCACAACAACTGCCACACAAATTGGGATAAAACTTCTAGATCATGTGCTAAAATTGTTACTTCCCACATCTTCGGTGGTTAAAACAAGCCAAATATTAATTTCTTTGTAGTAAATGTAATTTTATTTTTCTTCATTGTATCTCTTTTTAATAAAAGGTGTAAATAGGTCATCCGTTAAGAATTCGTTTAGCTGACAATAGAATTTATTAAAGTTCAATTTTGTTTTCGCCTACGTTTCATTCAAATACTGAACTGTTCATTTTAATATAGAAGTATAATACTTGTGATACTATATTTTTTACTACTTTTAAAACAATTGCTAAATGACATGATATAATGAATATGATATATGTTTATATTGTATGAATCAATCGTATTATTATTTATAGATGGTGTGATTAACGAGTTTTTCCTATAATAATATAATTTTAAAAATGCTTATAATCTTTTCGGGAAATAGTTGCCGACTCAGAATGTTTTTATAGAGCTCGTTAAGAGTTCAAAGCATTCTTACTTACGTACTTCCGCTTTGCAAAGAGATCTTTGAAGCCTTATTTAGATCAAACTCTATGAGGTCATGTTACATATAAAGTCATTTAATAAAATAATAACAATTTATTACAAGAATGTGTTGAGATTTTAAATACATACCTTTCTCTTACTTTCTACTTATGTAATAATATTTTAGGGATAACTGTAGTGTTTTATATATGAATTAGATAATAGATTTGAATATCATACAGTGTATTCTGAATCAATTCGTGAATTAATAATTCTTAATATTCAAACATCACATCAGAACAGATAGGCCATCTATTGGATTTTCTTACTATAATTATAATCAAGGCTGGTTCTTTTAACAAGATGCTTTTTAATGATATCTAAGATTTTCGCAAGTACTCATTTGTTTTAAAGTCACCTTTCCTTTCGTCTAATCGTTATCTAAGTTCCTGTAAAGTAAGCAAACGATGGGAAAAAAGGAAAATTACATAATACATCTCATGATAAATAAGAAAATCACACTTTACTTTATACATAAAGTTACGTATCAATAATAAGATTTGATTTTATATTTAATGCGTATATTGAGGCAATTCTCAGCAAAGAAATTTTTTTCATAATTTGACATTTTATTTTTATTTATTAACAAGAGCGAAAAATACATTATTGAACAAGTAATCATAAAATCAAAATGTTGTCTTCATTATAGGTGTTATACACATTTCAAAGAAAAATAGACACGTAACATGCAGATAAAATTACATTACTTTAATTGCACAAAGGAAAATTAGAAAAAAAAGTAATAATAATAATCATTAACATAAACATTAAAATAATAATTAATAGTATATTATTATAAAAAATAAATTATAATATTTATAATTTTGTACTTTAATATCATTAATAAATAAAACAAAGAATTACAATATCCAATAAAAATCCAGTTAATCGATTTTAGGTAAATATGTTTATGTTACTAATAATTACGACACGTTATTCTAGAATCTAGATGTATAGATTGTTTTAAATTAAATATAACGAAATAATAAAATGATTTTTATACAGCCCGTGTAAATTATCCCATAAGGCTGAAACAAACGCTGTTAAATTTTTTATTATTGATCAAACCGACCATACCCAAATCAAAAAACACTTTTCTGTATAACTTCTGAAAATAAGGGATAACACAGAATTTTAAACAAAAAGTTACAAACATTAGATAAAAGTAAAATGTTATTAGCTCTTTATGTTACTGTTTTAAAGGATAATGACTAATTTTCACGATGAAAGTATGTAATGATTTTAGTTTAAATGTATTTTAACCTTTTAAGTGTTTCATTTTTATATTTTAAGATCCAGTACAAAAAGAAAAAATAATACATATATTATACATGCGATTTTTCCTAGAATACCAATAGGAGACCATCTATATATGTATTTTCACTAATTAATTTACTTGTCCAATTAATAAACGATAATAACAATCCGTAATTTATTCCAGAATAAAAAAACTTCAGACATTTTAATGACTCTTATTTTGTCCAATAAATACCTAATCATCAGTTGTATACTTCTTATGAACTTTATAATATATTAAACTAATATATATCTATATATATATATATGATTATAAGTGGTTACGCATTTAAGCAACAAAGTGGCAAAAAATGAAAACGAATCACGAAAGTCAAAACGTTATATTAGGCAGCAAGTGCATGAGCTAATTAATTTATTTACAAAAATATATGCTAATTTATACAAAAAAATATTAACCACAACTAACTGTCAGGTTAGACCGTTCTGCGCGTGAGTCTCCGGCCAGTCATTAGCGAAGATAAAAGACGGGTCCGTGGCCATTCCGATAAAGGCGGTGTTATCTATCATTAGTTAATGACCAGGCGTAGCCATTCGGTTATTACGCACCCGGTACTCTTCAATGCAAAATAGTTATCTTAATGATCTCATGCTTCGTTTAGACGTCCTTTCTTGTTTAGTCCGAGCCTCTTAGTCGCCACAGTAACTACTAAATACTATTAAAAATTAATGAATTCCTTTAGACATCTTTAAAGATCAAAACAGAAAACTATTTAACTAATACCATATAAAATATATAGTACTAATTATGTAAAGTTACGACAAGTGTCTGAGTCCATTGCGTCTAATAAAAGTCAATGTGCAGACAAAACTTCTCAGCATTCCATGGATTCACCGTGCGGGTGCCGGGTCCATCGCGTTGCAGGGGGAGGAGCTTCAACAGTGCCTGGGACTTGCGACCCAAGTGTAGGTTTAAGGGGCCCCTTAACTAACGCGCGTTATACGCTCACCTCCACTGTCCAAGCTCCTCTCCCTACCTAACCAAATTTGAAAAGAACCTACTAGGGCTGCCTTCGATGTACGTTCCAAGAATGCATTAATGTGAGTTCTGGACAAGCCCAAGTCCTTTAGTAGGTTATAGAGAGATTTCGCTGTTATACCTCTCGCTCCCACCTCTACCGCGTACAAATCTACTACGAACCTATTTCGAGTGAGTTCGTTTGTGAGCTCGTAATATTTGTTGACCTTGATGGTATGGTCTTTGGGGATGTTGGTTTCCCAAGGGACCGTAAGCTCTATCATCACTACGCGCTTTAAAATTCGCGAAAACAAAAATATATCCGGTCTGGAGGCCGACGCACAAATATCCTCGGGGATTTTATATTGTTTTTCATACGTGTCCATCATTATAGTCCAATCCGACGCCGCTTTAAGGATGGAGTAAGGCTTGACGTTTGATTTTGTAGCCCTAGTGCCTTCTCTCACAAAACCTACTGATCGTTCGTTTGTGGTTATTCCCTTTTGCGCTCTGGCTACCGAAAGACTAACCGCTTCACGTATGACTTCTAGAACCCTATCGTGACGACGCGAGTATTGACCGCTGTCAAGGAGTACCTTACATCCCACCAGCAGATGCTTAGCAGTTCCAACTGCCTTTCCACAGATATAGCAAGTTTTTTCGGTACTTTTACCCCATCTTACTAAATTCCTCTGATCTGGGAGAGTCATCTGGAACGCATTGAGATAGAATTTTAGCAATGCTGGCGACCAATCATAGATTAAAGTGCGCCATTTTAATGCTAATGGGATGCAAAAATCTCCTATGTCTATCCACTCGTTCTGCATTTCTAAATTCATTGCATGGATCTTATATTTATCATTCTCGTCTTGCCGAATAAAAGACTTCAATATATCCGCATCTTGGACTTTCCTATTTGATCCTAACCCCGCTCTGTTACTTTGCGCTCCTATCATAAATTGCTTATGGAATTGAAGTCGTGACTCTAGCTCGGGGGCATCTTCATCTTTTGGGAGCGATGTCACTATGTCATCATGGGATTTCCCCAGGATATATCTCTTGGAAACTCTTAGGTGTTTATAGAGCTCCGATGGCCTTTTTAGACTCATCCCAAAACTATTGCTTCCCCTAAATAACGCCGATGAATCAGCCGTTAGGGCGAGCCCGAGCCACAACTTCAACATCTTTATGACGCCTGCATCTAACTTTGACATAAGGGTTTTATTAAAATCATAGACGAGGAAAGGCCAATTCAAACGTGAAGTTAAGTAATTCTCGTAGATCCACGCTTTTTTGACGTTACTTATCAGTTGGCTATCTACCTTGTTAAGATCGTTCAAAAAGCTATCTACTATTCCTTCTAAAGATGGAGTACGGCCTATATTATCTATCTTACGACCGAGAAATTTAAATGGTGCATTTTCCGTAACCGTAGAAATGCATTGATCGCCTAACGATAGTCCCGGATCGTATGAGGTGTATCTTGTATTCCGCCTACCAAGACACAGACAGTGACATTTACTGGGTTTTGTCCTCAATCCATCCGTCCACTCACAGAATTTATCCACTTCATCTAATAGTACTTGACAGTGTTTGGGGTTACGTGTCAGTATTGCGAGATCGTCAGCGAAGGCTAAAATGGATTCCGTGTATTTATTATTAAACTTAAACCGATAACCCCATTTTTTCTCGTTACAGATTAATTTGTCTACTAAGATGTTAATTACGATATTAAACGCAATTGGAGATAGACAACAACCTTGAAACAGTCCTACATTATAACTCAAACTTTTTGAAGGGCCTTCTTTAGTTATTATAGAAAACCTTAATTTTGAGTAATACGACGCGATCATATCTCTAACTAGGGGTGGAAAGTTGTACCATCTAAGCGCGAATAGCATCAATTCGTGTTGTGTCGACCCGAACGCGTTCTCCAAGTCTATGCAACAAACAGTGATTTGCCGCTCGCTTTTTCTAGCATCTTTTAAACTCTCCGACAGCAAGGTGTTGTGTTCTAAGCATCCAGAAATCCCGGGTAAAAACCCTTTCTGGTGATTTGGCCTAAAATAGTTGTTGCTGAGCATGAATCGCGTCATTCTCGTTTGTAGAACCGAGAAAAAGATTTTCGATATAGTATTTGTTAAAGCTATCGGTCTAGTATCTTTCGGATCAGTAACTCGATCTTTTTTGGGAATGAGGACAAAAATTGCTTTCCCGAAGCACTCCGGGATTTGCTTCCTTGACCAGATTTTACCGTATATATTTAGGAGGTGTTTACGAACCGATGCACATTTTTTAAAGACTATATATGGGATACCATCGGGTCCCGGTGCAGATTTAGACGACTTCCTCTTGATCTGACTACTTAGTTCCTCTAGCGTTGGTGGAATGCCGTGGAATTCGATTCGAGGAAATTCAGGTTTTTGATCGTTTGGATCCCTATACCGTCTTAAACTTTTAGGCACTTCGTATGTGCTCTTAAAATGGTCGTAAATTTGATCGTTGGTCAAGAGAAGCTGTCCGCGTTCTTTCTTAAAAATGGTTTTCGAATACTCAAAAGGGTTTTTATCGAAATCTACTTCTTGTTTTGCCCGGTCAAAATTATCGCGATATTCTGCAGTTTGCGCCGATATTCCTTGGATTAATTTAAGGATTGACCTTAACGCCCTAGCTAGTTGATGACTAAGGTGATTGTCGCCTAGAGCTTTGGCTATACGTAGATTTTTTATTAATTCCCGTTTTTTCTTCCGCATTTTTAATTTGAACGAATTGTCTTTATTTTTGCGAGCATAACGATTACGTGGTGGATATTGCTCGCTAAAGTAGTCATAAACGGTATTTTGGAAAGTTTCTACCTGCGAGTTCAATTCCTGTTTCGAGCCCGGATGCTCTAACAGGACCGCTAAGTTGTCGTCATGAACTTTCCAAGTCGATTGTTTTAGATTAGGAATGCTAAGACGTGTCCTGATGTTAATGGACTCCTGGTGGTTTCCAGTTAATGGTTCACCATGGGATACATGAGGGTCAACTCTATCCGAAGTGAATGTTGTAGATCTTACCGACGATTGTCGTGCTTCAACCCCATTATGTGTTTTTAGATGTTTAATGTACCAGGCTCGTCTCTTGTAGTTTTTCCAACACGTTTTTACGTTATCCTTTTATAGACGTAAGTGATATTATTCTAAGTCATAACCGTTAAGTTCAGTGTCGAGTTTCCAGTTACAAGAATAATTAAAATAATACATTTGGTCTTCTTATTGCAACAAAACTCGTATTCTTTTGAAAAGACGGAAATTATCAAAAGCTGCCTTGTAATGAATAATAAAACTTACTTGCTAGCTTCCAAAACTAAATAATATATTTAGAAATTTTAATAAAAATTTAAAATAAATTAATTAAATTTAAAATCATATATACAAAAGAATTATTTCGTTTAGACACTATTTCATAATATGAACAAATTAATAACTGTGTCCTAGATATTCTAATTGGCGATATTAAAATTTCAAAACAGTCAAACGAGGCTAGTTAAAAACCGAGATCTTTATTTTGTTCTAAACACTGTATAATTAAAATTTAACTCCAAAATATTTTAGTTTAACTTGTTTTTTAACTATGTTTGTTTTTATTAGCGTTTATAAACCACCTCATTTTCATAGACACATAACTAATAGTCATTCGGGTTTAGGTCAACTTTATTATCATTGATGCCATTGAATTCAGAATTCGATTACCATAATTCAGAATCATAATGTGGTTTGATATAGTTCCATCGCAACAGTTATTTGAATGTTTACTACTTCAAAGGTTCAAACAGATTCAAAAGTTCGTGAAACAACAATATTATATATCAGATTTATTGGGCTCTCTTAGCAGTTATCGTCCCAAGAATTCATTTGTGAAGTCTCATTTTGCGTACTTTTTATACATAAACTGTAATGTAGAAAAAAACAATAGTTTTTTTGTTACATATTCTTCAAGATGAATGATAACCCATAATGATATCTAAGACAATTATCGGTACAAATTTAAATGCAACTGTGTTTTTGAATTTACTACATGATTTCTTTCAGCTGAAAATTACCTCATTGGCCATATTTTCCGACCAATACGAAACAGATATGGGGTATATTTTTAGATGATAGTTGAAAGATCGTTCACAATATTGCAAAAAAAAATTCTACATATATTATAGTTTATTGCAATAAAACTATGACGATTGAACATAATACGAAATTTAATAAGGCCGTCCAAAAGGCCGGCAGACCTATTAAAAATATTAAAATACACTGCCAAACCAATGAATTCTTTTGTAAATATTAATCGATATACAATATTTTAATGAAGAAAACTCAACCACTTAAACGAAACGATAAAACATTCGTTTTGTTAAAATATTGAAAAGAAAAGGGTTTTTAAGAGTATCACTTAAATAATCATAGATGTGTTACAGTTCTTGGAATATTTCAAAATAATATTAAAGGTTGTAGGTCTATAATATGGTAAAAGTGTAGTTTACTAAAAGACAACTAAAAAATATACAGAATCAAATATTTAAATTCTGACGTGCAATACGTATTCGCACAAGATTGATAATCATGTTCAAGGCCGTATAAATGTTAAACACCTTACAACAATAATAACTTAACCTGATTATAGTTACAACTTATATTTTCTTAATAATGAATGTAAAATAAATGGTTCAATTATCCACTATAGAGAACTATTATTACTAGACCTAACTTCTACATTTAAAGCACTTTATTATATTTAATGTGTTTATAATTTATCCTTAATATTAATAAAAAGGTTTTTTTGTATTGACATGTTATCTTGCAATAAAAATATTAAATAAGCCGTAGAACACGTTATAATTTTAGAAATTTAAAATTCGTAAAATACTAGTTTTTGACTTTTTTCCCAGGATAAGGATTTTCTTAGTTTTATCATCGATATTAACGGTTAACGTCATCTAGTATTATAAAGTAAAATTACAAAAATAGCAATTAGTCCGTAACATATGAGCAACTTTTTCAAAATAGGCAAAATTCTTATGACATATGTTGTTAGTGTTAATAAAATAAATTAATCTTCAAAAGTGTTACCAATAAATGGCTTTTAAGTAAACCAGATGATAACAAACTAATTGACAACCTTTTGTACTGTTTACGCAACGGTCGATGTGCTTTGAGTGGACTTTGGATATCGGTGAACTGAAAATATTGAGAGAAAAATTGAGTTAGCCTTTATATTACAAAGGCCTTTCAGTGGATTTTGAATACCGTATCACTGTGATAATGGTGATGCTTATACGGTTGTTTGCTCCTTCTTGGACAAAAAGTGACAGAAGATAAAACAACAAAACAAAAAGGTAAAAGAAAAGTGGGATTTTCGTTTAAAGACCAATTTATTAATATTATAATAAATATTTATTTTGCAATACATGAAATGGTGAAAAAAGTTCAGATTAGAAAATATTTTAAAGTACTAAATCGACCAAAAAATTCAGCTTATCCTAAATCCTATTTATTTTTTGTTTTTTAATGAGAGATGACTTTCAGAAATAAAAATCTTAAAAACTTATGGGAACAAACATAAACATTTTATATTCTTAGAGTTATGTCATTATTGCGATAAGAAGATTATTTTTGGATAAGATACTTTTTTGCATTCAAAAGAAGCGAAGCCATAGAACATTATCTGTAAAACTCTTAGTAATGAGTGCTAGAAATCTGTAAATATTATAGGTTAAAATTGTATGCTTTGACTTTGAATTTATAAATGCTTAAGGATACAAACAAATGTTTTAAGCATATTAATAGAGAGGTAACAAAATACCTATATTAATTTAATTTTACTAGAAATACATTTGTATTAAAAAAAATACTAATTTCATCTATGTACACTTATCCAATATCCACAAAGGAAAAACATTATTTATTATAACATCTTAAACCTTTATAGGAATGATGAAACGATAGTTTCATTAGAAGATTGGCAAAAGTTTCAACGAGATAATTAAGATTAAAATATAAAATGCCTTTACTTAAGAAGGGGTACTAAAAATACAAAGATTAATTGATTTTAAACCAATTCATTTCTTATCGTATCTATTTTTACTACTCTGTAAGCTTGTAGTTGGATAATTAGTAACAGTTACAGAAAAAGTTTGAAAAGTTGATATTTAAAGCCAGATAGTTTCAGCCCTCAACGGGAAGTTGTAATAAGTCATAGATTTTAAAACTTAAATGAGCTCTTAACTGCGATACGTTCATCAAATACGTTTTATATATTATCTAGGGAGAATATTTATACATAGAATTCAATAAGACTCTAAAAA